GAAACAGTAGATCTTCAGAGGTCATGCTCCTAAGTATTTTTTTTAAATATCGCTTTTCACATTACATAGTTTCAGATCGAACTGTAAGAGCATGGTGGATGGACTGCACAGCCAAGAGGCCAACATTAATAAAATCCTGTTAATTAAAAAAATTGCTAAATGGTCCCATTGTCATAGATGTGTTCACATTAAGGTTCCTATTTCAGCTGCAACCCACACATCCATTACACTCCTCCAGCATTTGAATTATGGATAGTCAGGATATTACTACATTTATATCAGGCACAGAGGAGATGAAACGCCTCGGTGGTGTCGGGCTGTAATTGTATGAATATGATTTTTTTTTTAAGGTTTCAGACGAATTTTCAAAACTTTCATAATTATATCAACTGAAGTACAGTTATTCAAACTTTATGGCTTCTACAGTAGTTCTCCTATTGTATGCTGCTACTTAATTACAAAACCGAAATATATATCAGAATTGTAAGCAATCCATTATTTAGATATATCTACAGTGCAGACCCATCCACAGGTTTGGTGGCGTGGGGACATGATTTTATATTACATGTACAGCAAGACACACAAATCAGAACTTTAAACCAAGCGGCAATTCCGGTGTTGAAAAATGAAGCCAATGCAAAAGTGCAAAAATCTGCAGTTCCTCGAGTGTCCACTTGAGGCTGACTGTAGAAGTGCTGGAAGTCACATACACACCCATTCAAAGAAGCCTGTTTTTACAGCAGAGATGAACATGTTTACAGCCTGGTTGAAAAAATGAAAGAGGTCTGATGGCTCATGTCTCAGTCGGCACACACTGTACAGAGGGTGAACAAAACACATGACTCATCTGTTTTGATTTTATGAAGGATAGGAGTTATTCACAATAAGGCGTTTAGCTGACCTGACTGAGAGGTGGGCGAGGTGTTGCTGTTTGTGAGGAAGCCTAAGGACCGCCTTAGGTTGACTGACAGTTAGGCTGAGACAGCATTTCCAGCATGGTGACCGCCATCCACAGGCTTCCATTACCCATTGCAGTAACAGATGGCTGACTTCACTCAGGCTTCATCCACTTTTTACAGTCTGTACTTAAAACAGACACGGGGGTCCTGGAAACAGAATTTAAAGGGTACCTTAAAACAGACCTAACATTATCTTAGACAGGAAGGAAACCAATGGTTCCTAGTAATCTTTTTACTATTACTTTACTACTGTTTTCACACATGCACTCTTGGGAATCTCAAACAGCCTGCCCCGGAAATCTTCCAGAATAGCTTTTTCATACTTGACCTTCACATCGGGAAATTTTCCACGTCGGACAGGAGTGTGGGGGGTCTCCGTAGGCAGGACATGGCGTACAAAAGACGTTAAGATCGCACATAGGACAGACATAGGACAACTATAATGACAGATTTTTGCCTTTATATTAATTCTACATGTCGTGCCAACCAATGGATGAAAAAGAACATAATGTAATGTTAACAAAAAAAAAGAGTATGAAGCAGCTTTATTACGTGTACCATTTGCCCACCATTACCTGCTGCAGCTCACCGTGACTTCATGCAGGAACATTACTTCAGAGCTTGTCAGGAAAATGTCCAGACAAAGTCAGGGTGACAAATTTGGTCGCTTGCATTCACATAGCAGCCCACCCTAAAATTTTCAGAAGTTTTGTGCATGTGTGAAAACACCATTAGAGTATCCTAGACAATAAAGAGTAGCTGCCAGTATGAAAGCATGTTACATCTATGTGAATAACTGAATGGCATGAGAAAAATAACATTATTTTTTATTTCCTCCGCAAAAAGATATTCAAGCAAAAGGTTCATATAGTAACCCTTATTTAACGTACTTTTCAAATAACATTTTAGCCTAAGGTCCTGTGCCCATTTAGCGTTTTTCTCTCTTTTTTCAATTGTTTTCAATGAGTAGAGAGTGTTCCGCCTTGCAGCAGAAAGCGACCGCCTGGAGAAAAAAGTGTTATATAAAGTATAAAGTAAGATATAAAGTGTTTACATGGTAAGAATGTCCGCTGAATTTGAACTTTATCTATGCTCTTTACACGTCTACCACCTTTCATTGTTTCCCAGGTAATTCCAGGTGTAGTTCAATGATATCACATCTTTCCCCTGGTTTTGACTTTAGGCACTTTGCCTTCCAGGGGGACAACCTGGACAACTGCAAACCCTTTAAATTGGCAGGATGGTTGGAAAATATGTGTACAGCTGAGTCCCCTTTCAAAACCATCTCATAGAAATGAAACTAAACGAGGCTACATGTTATCAGACGTACTATTCCTCCGAGAAATACTGTAGAGTTATTTTTATCATGAATTAAAATGCAAACTAATTGGAATGGATAAATTAGCAGCTACCTTTCTGGAGGGGACCGACCACACCGGCAACTCTCCATGTGTCACTGTGTTGACCTGTGAGAAGCACCTTGTCACAGTGAACGTCGAGGGCTGCTTAAATTAGTCCCAGTGGGATTCATCGCTACCTGAAGCCTCCGTTCAACACCTGCCTGTGGCCTCTAGCCTCCCAAAGCTTTGTTACAGCCTCCCCGGGTCCTCACCACCGTCACATCTCTTTTAAATTAGTACACAATCAAATCTAGTGTCTTTCTGGGAAAAGTACCAGCCAAATAATGCACAAGAAAATGGTTTTACTTTTATTCCCGCTGGATATGAATAGGCATGTAAGAGGATTTCTGAAAATATGATTTGTTGACTCACTAAGAGGTTATCCGGCATGCTTAAATCCTTCTGATGTAACCCTACTTTCTTTTTCTTTTTTTTTACCCTAACTGCCTCTTTTCATTTTCCCTCCAAAAAATTATTTGACCACCAGATCCCCAGAAAGGAGCCAAACATGATGAAAATACTGATGATTCTAAACTAATTGAATATGAATATTACCGTTCAACCGATGAAGGCACAAACTCATCTTCCAAATTGAAATGTTTTATTTCAAACCATTAACAAATATCAGTCGTTGTACTCATCACAAAGTGTTCCCTTCACAGCTGAACTTGAAAAATTAATCCAGCATCTAACGGAACAGAAACACAAAGTTAATATTCAGACAGTGATAGCATGAAAATGAAAAAGGAAGCTTCAATAAGTCACCTGGCTCCTTGGAAATGACTCCACACCAATAAAGATCTAAGACGAGGAGGACAGAGGAATGTGGGTCACAGAGGTTTTCAGGGGCAAACTTTCCTTTTTCTGTGACATTTATCTGGGCTGACTGAGAATTCATTGCCAAGCTCAAACTCCTCTTCCTGTCGGAACCGATAAGAATCAATTCCTCTGTAAATCTGCTGTTAGCAAAACTGGGGGGCAGTGGAGCAAACCTGTGCAGGATGCAACGTTTATAGCAGGATGCAGCAGAAATCAATTTGACATGTGTCTACTTTGATACAGTGTCAATATATATATCAGCTCCAGGATGCATGTGCACTGACTGTTACAGCTGTTACAACAGGGAAAACGATTTTTGATGCTGAGTTCAATTTAGGGTGGTTGTGAAGTATAAAGGTGCTGCCTGGTCTATTCCTCATACCATTTGATGTAAAAATATGGATAATTTTGACAAAATATAGCAGAACATGCTCATCAGATTAAAGTCAGTCGAGGCAAATTCCAAAAGAAGCAATTTTACTTTAGCAGGATTTAGCCATGTCATATGTTGAATCTGCATTTCAGCCTATATCCAATAACCATCCAAACTGGTCACATAAAGAACATGTCTGTTTCCTCTTTCTTCAAAATATGATGATCCAGAAACCCTTCTAGCAACAATTGTGGACACTGTCATCAACTTCTTTTCAAGTGACGTTGAAGACAATACTTTTTCAGTTGACTATAAATCTTTTTCTTTTTAAGAACATTACACTTCCAGAATGTGGGCCTGCTCTTAGTTCCTACAGTCTTTAAATCTACTATGGGAGGTAGAGCCTTTAGTTATCAGACCCCTCTCCTTTAGAATCATCTACCAGTAGAGACAACCTCTCCAGGCTTAAAACTTTCCTTTGATAAAGCTTATAGTTAGGACTTGCTCAGGCTTGGACCAGCTCCCAGTTATGTTGCTATAGGCTTAGACTGCCGGGGGCCTGGCACGTTGAGCGCCTGTCTCTCTCTCTTCCTCTAAATGTGTATACATTCAATAACTTCAAATATTCATGTACCATTTACTTAATGGTATGAACACTAATCTTACATCTGCCGGGGAGTATGGCAATTTATTTCTATCAATAGTTGAGAGCGATAAACTATAATCAAGAACGTATTATTTTTTATTTTTCAACAAAAATTCAACAGCCATGCACACAAATTCATCACCAGAGAGCTGCACAGCCCGCTGCAAGGGTGAAGTTAAACACAGGTGAGGGCAAAGAATGTTGTCACTGTCTGCTTTGCAAGCCCAAGACGGCAGCTGCCCTGTACTTCTCTCTCTCCTTGCTCAAGGTGAAGTTCTACTATTCTGACAATTTGGACTTGGTCTGCCCCTCTAATGGTCACCTTCAACTCCATCACTCCCACATAAATGACTCATTCAACAGTGGCATCTTCGGTTTCTGGATACCCGGGCTCAGTGTAACTGTTCGTTTAGACCGATCAGTCTATTACCATACTGTGTTGTTACTGCTAATACTGCACATGCTGCAATTATTACCGTTATTGTAGCTATAAATCTGGTTTATTCATATTGTTGTTATTGCTGTTGTCGCTCTCCCTCTATCCCACTTTCCAAGTCCATTACAGTTGCGACAGGTGGCTGTTCAACATGAGTCTGGTTCTGCTCAAATTCATTCTGCAAATCTGAAAATAGAAGGGGACCAGGTTCATCAAATTTTGCAACAATGTCACTAAATACCTCCATTTTGAATGAATCTGAAGTAAGAATATGTCGCTTTAATACAATGAATGCCAATGGACTTTTTTTTGGGGGGGGGGGCTTTTGTGCCTTTAATGGAGAGATAGGACAGTGGATAGAGTTGGAAATCAGGGAGAGATAGTGGGGATTGACAAGCGGGAAGGGAGCCACAGGCTGGCTTTGAACCTGGGCCATCCGCGTTGAGGACTATAGCCTCCATACATGGGACGTGCGCACTAACCACTGCGCCCCACCCAATGGACTTTTTGAATGCTGTCTCATTGTATTGAAAATGCAAGAATTAGATCAGCAACGTGTTGTTACAGAAACATTTGTTCATGTCGTCATTGATAATCCAGATGTACTTTAAAAAAATATTTAAAAGAAAAAAAACTCAAACAGAGGGCTTAAAAATATTTAAGCAGCTTTTAACGTAATTGTTGATGCAAACAAAAAACAAAATCCTATTTATCTCTATTGACTCGCATGGACAAAATTTAAATCCATCCAATACAACTTTTTGCAGAAAATTCTATTAGACTGAGGAAAAATATGTTGCTTTTTTTTGTCATTTCAGTAATCAAACACTTCAATTCAACCAAATTTGAGTTCATTAATTTATAATTATAATTTATTGATCCCGCGAGGGGAAATTCGTTTTTACACTCTGTCTAGTAAATGAACAGGATCCTATGGACATGCACTAATGGAGGGGTCTCAGAGTGAGGGGGCTGCCCACAGTGGGCTGAGCTGGTGGGGGGGTTGGTTGCCTTGCTCAGAGGCACCTCGGCGGTGCTCAGGCAACTCTCCAGCTACCAGGCCAATTTCCAGATTTGATACGTGCCGGGACTTGAACCGGTGACCCTCCGATTCCCAACCCAAGTCCCTAAAGACTGAGCTACTGCCGCCCATTTAAATGAATTAAATGAATATCTAAATAATCATAAGTCCTGAAATCTTTCTGGAAAGTGAATATTGTCTCAATGTCTTAGTTCATATTGTTTCTTTGGTTTTTATAGGGAAACTTTTGCAGGTATATAATTGACTACGTAGACACAGCTTGATCCACAAAGTATTAAAGTTTAGATAATTTCACACACAGGACAGACATATTTTTGCAAAACATATGCAACACATTACGAAGACAGATGGTTTGAAATAACAAGAGTCACAGATAGCAGCATTCACAATAAATATACTGAATAATAACCATCAATGCCTCCATCAGTGGTTTAACCAGGTGATATTCCTCTCAGTCTAATGCAAAACACCACCCACATTTATATGATCAGTAACAATCTCCCACGTCAACAGGGACATTTCCATATGAACTCTAAATATAAAAACAGACACCACTTACAGTTGAGACAAAATTGAAATTCAGTTTACTAAAGGACTGCATTTGCCAAATAAGACACCCAAAACCCAACACCTAGAGAACGAATTACTTCACAAGAACTACTTCACATTAAATGGATTTTCTCATTGTGTACCGAAAGAACTACAGTGAAAAATACTTGGGTTCGGACTGTAAGAGTGAAGGAAAGTGCAAAAATATCCTGCTATGCGATTTGAGCAGGGTCTGTGAGGGTCTGTCCCACTGTCCTACTTCCATTCTTAAGAATTCCCTCAGTGGTAACATGACCCAAGTTCAATGCTGGTGGCTTTGGGCTTCCAATGTCAGTCAAGTCCTCTGCCTGAGGCTCTAAGAAAGCCACCCTCTTTCCATTTGACCGCCGATCTCCTGACTCTACCTCTCTGGGATCTGAACAGAGGATGAAAGCTCGTCCGCCACACCCCGTGGACCCCCCACCTCGAGCATCCCTGCATCGACAGGGAGTGAGGTAGAGGTAGAGCAGTACCAGTACGATGCTGATCACACAGGAAGCCAGGGTGGTGAATGCTGTATTAAAATGCTCTGCACCACTGCGATGTGTCAAGCCACTCACAGATGTCGTGCTCGAGTTTCCCACCACCACAATGACTTCTGGAAACTCATTGGGTTCGTAGCTGCGCCCTCGCCCTGTGACACACCCAAAAGTACCAGAATCTTCTATCAGTGCTCCTCGAATTTCAAGGGTACCATTGGGGAAAACCATTAGGCGGGCATTTGAATCATTGGTTGATGAATTCGCCACAATACTTGGGGTAACCCAGAACACAACCAACCCTTCTTGGACTGGCAAAACCAACCCTGGACATGGTACTTGTAGCCATTTTCCAGGTTCTACTTGGAAAGTATTTTCCTCTAGGGGCATTTTGGACGATACCTGCTTGCTACATTTAGATCCTTGACCAATATTGTCCATACATGGGTATTTAACTCTGAAATCCAACAAGGGGCGATACTGTTTCCACATCCAGTACTCAATTAAGGCAAGTAATGTGCAATCACAGACAAAAGGGTTTTCCTGCAAATAAATTCCACTTTGTCGGCTGAAAGACAGAAGGCTCTGGACGGGAGCCTTGGAGAGCCTGTTGTTTGAAAGATCCAGAAAGGTCAGGTTAAGAGGCCCTCCAGATTCCTGATAAAGCCCATAGGGAAAATCCTCTAGTCTGTTCCCAGAGAGGTAGAGCCTCTTCAGGCTGCGAAGATCACTGAAGGCCTCTGGGTTAATCTGGATGATCTTGTTGCCAAACAGCAGTAGTTCTCTTAGTTCCGTCAGCCCAGTGAAGATGGACGAGTTCAAAACTGTTAGTTGGTTGGAAGAGAGGTCCAGTTGGAGGAGATTCGGCGTCACAGCAAAGGCATTTGTCTCGATTTGGCTTATGGAGTTCCTGCTGAGAACCAGAGTTGAGAGTCGGTCAAACGGTTGGGAAATCCAGTCCAGAGGCAGGACAGTGAGGGCATTGTGGCTCAGGTCTAACCGTGTGGCGTAGCTCGGGAAATCAAAGCGTGCAACAGACAGATTGCGGCCACTGCAGGAAATAATATCACTGGCACAGAGGCAGTATAGTGGGCAAGTAGCCACGGAGGACAGGGCGCCAAGACACAGTGAGAGCAGAAAGGCTACAAAGCCAGGTTTCCAGCAGCTTCCTCCAACATCAGTCCTACCTGGAAGGTGTGACACAGCGGGATGCATCCTGGTGTTCCCTCAGGATGGGATCTCAGGTTACCGTCTCACTGGGTGTACACATGTCAGGTTTACAAACCTCTGATAGTGGCAGGCTTTTACTTAACTGAGGAGAGACAGAGAAAGACAGGAATCAAGGAGGGGGGTATTTGAAATGATTCTCCTATTTGTTTTCCTCAAAAATCAAGTAAGCTAGTGTTTTTGTTTAATTCTAGTCACAAATATCTAACTACAGTCCACTACAGTCCATATAAATCTTACTACAATATGCAAAAAGCAAAATCATGCCTGAATTGCTTGTATAAAGTACAAATAAAATTCTACCAAAGGGGCAGGAAAAATGTACTTAAGTGTCTTGAAGTACGAAGAATTAGTGAGTATATCTTTTCAGGACACTCAACATGTAAATTTGCATTGCTCAGATTTATTTTTACTTCATCAGATTGGCAGATTAACATTTGAGTTTTTGCAGTGTACTGTCATTTAACAAAGTTTCCAAACAGCTTAAAAATCACAGGGAGAAAAAAAAAAAAATTTCAAAAGGGAAGTGCGAAGAAAGAAAGAACAGCAAGAAAAAAACTGCAACAGAATATGAGATCATGTAGCGCAGATGAAGGCATTACATGCATGTCACTAAAAATAAATTATAATCCACTTTCAAATTCAACAATGATGGCCGCTGGCATCGTGTGAACATGACAACTGTTACAGAAACTGCTGGAACTATACTTTCCAACACACAGTCCTACTATTTTTTTACAGCTTTATTTCACAAGTTTCCTTTTCTTATATTAAAGTTTTAAGTCAGTTTTATCTCTTCTCTTTATTCTATTTTTTTTTTCATTAGACTGACACCCCTTCTTATTAGAAAGACCAGCTGAATTTTCTCAACATGTGGCGTCAATCTATCTGTATCTCTATCCGTCTGTCTGTCTATTGTATCTAAATCTATCTATCTTACATAGCCTAATTGCTTTTTAGCTTTAAGTAGGATATTGCACCAAGTAAGAACACCCAAATGTAAACTCCAAAAGTCGTATCAGACTCTTCTCAAATGTTCAAATGAAGATTTTTTTTAAAGGTCTGCAAAACCTGAGTAGATAATGTATTGAAGAAAGTTTTGAGCTGCATTGATTAGCAAATAGATTAATTTCTAAACATCATTAAACATCAACAATTTTATGGTTTCTCATTTAAGTCATTCCTGAAGCAAAACAGCCCATTATTATTATTATGTGATTGCAGCATCTTTAATTAGATGATTTGTTGTGTTTTCTCTGTGTCCAATTGGGCATTAATTATATCTTAGCGTATTGAACTGTTCTTTAACGAAGCATAACTTTTGAAGAGGTCACTTGGATTTTGAGAACCATTTTTCATCATTTTCTGACGCCTTGTTTCCCCAACAGTTAATTGATCACTGAAGAAAATAAGAGAGTTAGAGTAGCAGGTGTATCTGATTTCATTGACAAGAACCTGGTTGACTAATGACAAATAAAGACAATTCACTCTAAAATGAGATATAATATATAGGCTATAAATTGTTTGTTATAGTCAAAGACTGGTTTCACGATGAGTACAACATATGTGGAACTGGTTTTGTTAGAGGCATCAACTCTGTATTATTAGTAGTGAGTCTACACTGACCTTTTTTGTTATATTCCCACATGTAGTGTGCTCCTGTAGAGCGATAATGAGTAGGTTTTCAAGACTTTTATATGCAAGGAAAACAAAACAAACAGTATATATATATTCGACAGCTCACCCTGACGCCCACACTGATTCCTCTTCAATCCCGCAGCTCGTCAGCCTTGAGCTTCATATCCAGACGCGATGCAGGACCGCGTCCCGTATTCTGTCCCAAATATCCTCAAGGCAACTTAAATCGCTTTTTTCGGGATTCTTCTGTGGGTTTTTTTTCCAACCTTCAATATCAACCCAAAGTGTCGGGAGGATACTGGAAGCTGCGGCTGGTTTGTTCACCTGCAGGTTGCATGTAGCAGTGGGAGGGGTCGTCCTGAGAATAATCACGGAACACGACAGCAGCCGATTTTATGCCAGATGATGAGAACAGAAGAAAAGAGAGAAGGCGCGGTTGGAAAAAGGTGCAGCATCAGCAGCAAAAATCCTAATGCGCAAAGCTTAATGTCTCTGAGTTTTTTTGGATAACACCAGTGGATTTATTTTTCTTCCAATTTTATGGTTTTGGTAGAAAGAAAGAAAAAAAGCCAGGCCTTTAAGCAGCATTACGAAACTCCCTCTGAGAGATGCTCAAAGGAGGCTGTTGAAAGAAAAAAAAAAGATGCTTATCAAAAGGCTGTGGAAACATCTGTTGCATAGTTAGAGATGTATATTGTATACATCTGGTATTTAAGCGGCATTAAAAAAGTTGTATCAATAATGTATCAAATCATTGCATGCAAAGTAAAAGGCGTGCAAGCAATTACAAAACCACAAATAAATTGAAACTTCTGTTCACAGATAAAAAAAAGAGAGAGCATTTTAGCATCTAACATATTAACTGTTGCCAGTTATACATTGTGATTTTGCAACAGTGCAGTAACAAAGTTCTGCTGTCAGTACAGTACCCCTTTGTTACTAAAAAAGGTGTTGCAGAAGCATGAGAGGCATGGTGGGTAAACGAACAGCAGGAGCTTCACATACACACACCTTTAGGCCTGCACACACACAGCACTGTGCTCAGATGTTACACATGCCACCGTCTTCCCCTCCATGATGCCTTTGGTACTACCTACGATGGTGGATCAGGTGCAGAACGACAACACCCTGCCGTTCCTCTGCTAGCAGTTTTTAATGTTAAAAATGTACACATTCTTCTACTTGTTACATATGGACCAGGCCTGGCTTCAATTTGTGTTTCTTTGTTTTGAAAGGCAAAACAATATATTCCAACAGCTGTCTAGAATTCTGCCCTGTCGAATTTGTGCCATATTGTGCTCTTTTGCTCAGAGTGATTACAAAGGTGTAGAGTGTTTGGCGGCAGCAGGCAGGTATTTTTGACCTTAAATGTTTGAAGAAACTTTAGCAGAAATACAGAAAGACAAGTTTTGGATGAAGATAGGGAACATAGTGTGCCATTTAACAGCTAAAGAGCCAGAAACATCGTTCAAAGTTGATGGGATAGATACAAACAAAAGAAAAGCCCTACAATGTGAGCGAATATTGGAATGATATGATTTCATCATTTTTAAAGGTACAGACACAGAAACAGCCTGTTCTGAGCAGGGCTGAAATAGAGGGATGCATGATCAAATACAGGATCAGAGTGGATTTAGAACAAGAAACTTCACAGACACTGTTTTGGGGACCTCTGAGACCTTTTTGAAATTTTAAGGAGTATATTATGTGACCTTTAAATAAGAATCAAACATAATTTCTGGGTGGTTGCTTGAATAAAAATGTTTTTTTCATGATATCAATCTTCTGCTGATTCAAATTTATACATTTTTTTAAATGTTGCAATTCCAGGTACCTTGTGGAAATGTTTCATTACTGCAGCCCCTCTTTAAATTCTGGCATTAGCCTTTCTATCTGAGATTTATGTTATTTTACATAAGGAAAATTCCATCGTTTTTGCATTCAATCCAAGTAATCCTCAGAGAGTTCTGCGTGATATATCTGGATATCGTTTGATACGCTCTCACCCTTTAATTGGTTCAGGAAGACCAACCAGACAGAAAGGTGTGAGTTCATTCGGGCAGATTTACAGTCCATATCCATTTAAACAGTCTAGATATTATGCTTGCAAGCTGAGGGCTGATAGCTTCTGTGGAGAAAGAAAAGCCTGCTCGCAGTACACCAAAGCATTGAACTGCTAATGGTGGCTTGGCGCGGACAATTTGGTTTAATTAGAGATAACATCGTTGCAATTAAGCATCTGTGACCTTGACGGTTGTCGTTTCCATTTACTCCAGAGTCACAGCATCAGCGTTGCTTGGTTGCAGCGTTGTTGAAGGTCTATACAAGAGAGAAAATAAGTAAACAAACACTGCTGCAGCTCAGAAAAAAAATATTTTTATTTATTTATTTAATTTTACTTTAAAGACGAAGAGAAACATATCAGGATTTGCTTGCTGAGGCAGAATATTTCAGACTGTGCTGGGCAATGAGTCGACACACTCCCCCCTCATTTTCAAAAATACTTTTGTGCTGCATTGTGATGGAATACTGAATTTATATTGCTTCCTTCTGTGGTCCGTTTAGACTGACATGAAACTGTATCTTCTAGTGCCTTCTTTTTGTGTTTCCGAAGCTGTTTATCACTGTGTGTGTGTGTGTGTGTGTGTGTGTGTGTGTGTGTGTGTGTGTGTGTGTGTGTGCCACTAGCAGACGCTTTCTTTCAAATCCCATGAAAGTATTCTTCCACCTAATCAGTTTGTCAAGGTTGCGAGCTATGTGCTTCATGCTCTACCAGGTGTTTTTTTCATTTCATCCTTTTGCTGTCTTGTTCAATCTTCTAGATCTTCGCATGCAGCCAGTTCAATACCTCGCAACAACAAATGGAAAAAAAAAAACAGAAGTGAATTGAAAAATCCGATGAAGTCTCTTTTCAAAAAGACGAGTCAATTCATTTATTCTAAAGAGAAGCGAGAATTAAGGCCGTTGTCTTATCATCCGGACTTCAGTCTAATCACAATGCTCTTGTAATTATGAGGTTTCCACCCAGGACACTGTGACGGACAAATGGCTGTATGTTTCCATGGTGCCGACCATCAAAGGGGAAGGCCTCTGGGGAATCTGCCAGTGTCCATCTTGGCTCCAGGATTACGCAGTCGCGTTGTTGATATGCAAAGGGTGAATGGACTGAAAATGTTCTAATTCCTTCCTCATTTCAGATAGCATTCTTTTGATGATAAAAGGAAAGTGGTAAAAGTAATGGCCTGAACTGAAGGTCAATTAGGCATACTCTTAAAATACATTCTGTCCTCCTTGTATCTCTAACTCTCAGCATCCACTTGTGCCTGCTGGTCTTACCTGCCAGTTAAAGGCATATAATTGCTTCTGTTTTGCATCACAGGTGTAAAATAGACCCTCATTACATGGATGGAATAAACGCCAGCAGGGTTCTGAGTGCAGGCTGAGGAGAAGAATTGAGGGAATCCATCTGGATAGTTTCTTTTTTTTAGTTTAGCTGAATTCAACAACCTATCAATCCGCCCTGCTGCAGGCATTTAACAGCTTACAGATTGATGATAATAAAAATAAAAAAAAACAGCCTAAAATAGGTGGGTTAATGTTTTCAGAAGCTTTGGAGGAACGAGACATTGTCATGAAGAAACTTGAAGCTGTTTTCACAAAATGCATTCTCAGGTGGCAAGACGTGATGTGTAGAAAGAACAACGCAGAAGAGGCAGACGAAGCAACACAGTCCAACCCTATGATGACAGTTTTTACTCTAATATACAAAAACGTAGAATAGAAGTTGTAGAAGAATCCTTAATGAAGCTTGTGCGTTCACACATGCAGCTCACTTCGGACAATTTCAGGAAGCTTTCAGGAGTTTTGTTCATATATGAAAGCCCCATTATAAAATACTTTATATACTGTATAGTTGGCTTTTCCCTCCGTTTCTATGGTTAGCTAGACGTGCATTAGCTAACAGACTGTTCTAGTTTCCATTTACAGAAGGGACATGCAGCTACAATAACTCTTCTCTTCATTACACTCCAAGCACTAAGCCGAAGATTTTTATTTTTTTAATAGAAAAAAATCTTTCAATTATGTCTCAAGACATCCATTCCTGCTTTAGTATTCACCTGCCTCAGTCATGATTTAACACCTCATAAGAAGCTATGAGCCACCCTTGACATTTATATTCCATTATGGCTAACAAAATCATTTTGTGTTGTTGAATTTTTAGTTTTCATACAAACTGCACAGTTTATTAAATGTGAAAATGTTGCATTTAGAGCAGCTGCTGTTAAAAAGAAAACTCTAATTTTGTTGTGAATGTTCATCTCTATTCAGTGCTGTAGTTCCCAGCCATCAAGTATGCATCTCCCAGCATTAACTGTCTCCATTTGCAGCACTTGAACTTTCAGAGCTGAATATCTGAAACTGACCCGTGGTTTTAAACACACCAGAATGAATAAAACCATTGATGGGGAGAGAAGTCCATCCATCCGCTGTCTGAGTGCAAACACTCAGCAGGGAACCATTAAGTTTAACACCATGTTTCATTTGACAATACTTCCATTTGAAAGCTAATGTGAAAATATTCTAACTGTTGGGTGAGTTGGCATTGCTTTACATTAGATGGACCTAAGTCATGCCTTTAGCAACATATATCTTTGAATATATATTTTAAAGACCACTGCCTTTCCATTTTGTTTCCAAATTTTTAAAATGCTAAGATCGGGTCCTTATGTTTTCGGTGCAGACCCCAGACCATCACTATAGTGTGATAGTAAGGGGAAATAAAAATCATAGTTCCTACTTTCCAGCTCAAGGTGACTCTCAGCGCTGTCTGCTCCAAAGACTATCCCATCGCTTGAAACTGTTACAGGACTCTGGAGGTGCAGGATTTATTTAAATGGAATCTTAAACTCCTCACAATGCAGTGGAACAGCCTTTTTCATTAGACCTTCCATGTCTGCTCAGTGTGGATGTCTTTCAAACTCCTCATGTCATACCATTTTGTTTATTCTTTTGAGTAAGTTCCTCGGACATGAAGAACACATTATACAACTGTTTCAAGTACTTAGTTTCCCCCATGACACACAGAAAGTCATTAACATTTGAAAATGGTGGGATGCTTCAGGGCAGGTTGAGTCTGGCAGGTGTGTGACTCAGGGCAAATAATATGAAGGGCACTAGTGGGCAGAAATTCTCGAGGCATGTAAGCTAAAACAGTTCAAAGCACTGGATCGACTTTTCAGCGTTTTGAATAGATGACTCAGACCGAAGGTATGACAAATAGAATTCTGTTCTAAAAAATTGGGGGGAATTTTGTCTTGGATTCCAAGTGCTGCAAACATTTGGCTTCTT